TTCACTTATCTATCATGCCCACATTGCCGTTTGGTTGGAGGAACGCAACTTCGAAAAAACGCATTACCTGTCTTCTGCAAAGGCAACCAACACTTGGAATTTGACAAAAACTGCATCCAAATGTTCTAAGTTTTGACTAGTGTGAAATTAAAGTGAATGATGTCGGCATGAGGTGATAGGACTCGTGTGACTGTGAAGAGACATATGTAGCAACACGAATCCCCTAGAACATTTCATATAAAAGTCAACTCCTTTTTCAAATAAAGCATTTTAGGACGGTTGTTGGATTTTATTTGGTTCAACGACAAAATGCTAGGAAGTCTATCCACTCTAGGAATTTCGCAGGTACATTTTCATAATCCCCTCGATCAAGCATTCTGCATTATTTCGGCTGGAGAGGAAGCAACAATTTCAGAAATGACTGCTCTACAAAACCACCGGGTGTAAGTTATCCAAAGGGTGTTTGAATCGAAAAAAAAAACAAAACGTGTGGGGCTTAAGATGAGTAGAATGACGTTTAATATCTAGGGTTCCGTGTCGTTTTATCCATGCCAAATTTGACCCCCTAGCCAGGTTGTGCACTAACTGAGTTGTGAGTTAATGACGAAATTAATCTGTATTGCAATTGGCAGTTCTCTAACCACTCAAAATGCGTAAACTCTCTCAGACGTATCGACTGCGCTTTTTTGACTGACGCCACCTGACGCAGTGATGATTGGTGCTGCAAATATAACTGTAGAACCCTAGTTGCGGCAAAAGGAACTCATCTCGTTTTAGCAGCTTGTTTTGCTGCCTGTGAGTCGCACGTACTACTGAAATACGGGCAACAGTAGTAGCTGCCATGGAGGGCATTCAGAAGATATTACTCAATAATGAAAGGGACAGGTTGAGTAGATGGTGTCAACCAATCGATTTTAAAGCATCTGGCTTTGGCGAGCATATTCAATCAAGGCATTATGAACCGGAGGCGGTGTTCAGGTTCCACAGCCTTCTGAGATGGGTGACAAGGGGATTCCAGATGTACCCTAGAGACACAAAAGAAGCCTTTCAATCCGAAAAACCCTGGACATCCCGTTCCTTGGCATAATTTCGAATTGCAGAGTCCCCTTTCACGGGAGTGGTTGCAGACTCCCGGATGCGGTAGAAATGAATTTGTACACGAATTTAAATCAGTCGCCTTCCTGCTATTGGTGCATTCATCTTCGAGCGTGCTATTACTCGGATTTACACCCCAACTCGTCCACGCCGTATGCACGAGAGCGTATTTGAACGAGTGGAAACGACTGCGAACATCCCTGACCAAGTAACCTTTCCAAGCGCAGTTCAATATCAATTGGTGGAATCCGGTTTTGAACTCGGATGATCATTTGTCGGAATATTTCAACAGTCTTGTGCCTTGACCCTGCAAAAATCATTTAATCAACTGCTGTTTTCAGCTTTAGAGTGGGTTTTTTGCTGTGTTAATCGAAAGTCATTCATGGAAAACTCGTGATGAACGGTGGGGTTAATTGCATATAAGTGAATTAACAAACTGAAGGATCGTTGGAATGCTAGAGATCCTCTACTTTATGTGGGTTGTCATAGAATTCAAAAATGCAAATTGGAAAATCTAACCGACTTGTTTGCATTGAATCCCACATGAAATTCGATGCCACGAAAGCGACTGCCAATTTACCTTCACCGCACCGAATTTACGAGCGGATATTTCAAAAATCTCGTGCCAAAATAGCATCACCACGTCGGCTGTGAAAAGTTGAAAGTGCGTATAAATGTACCTGCTGCGCAAATCGATACAACAAAGGAAGGTTGGTTGTTGAGACAAGCGATAGGTCCGGTCAAGGCCACACTTGTGAACGCGTGCCCAACTTTATCACGTTTTGTCCCTAACTATACGCGCATGCTTAGGGGGCAGAAACACGAATTCCGTGTCTAATGCAAACGCCACCTTACCGGAACAGAACGAATTCGAGACCTCGTGCGGAGAGCCTTCACAGTCCGAGTAACGTCCCAGATTGAGCAGCTTATGAGAGTTGTGCGTGGCCTTGACAATGACCTTGGAGTGATTAAGGCAATTATGAAATGGGCGATTATGTTACGAATCTCGAAAAGAGGGAGATGATTGTCCTGGGAAATACTGACACCCCAGCAGAATCACACACCCAAAGGCCTTTGAAGACGCACGTTTTTTTGTTTAAATGTCAGGCAAGTGTGATTGGGCGGTGTTTTCACGTTAAAATTTAAGATGGCGAGACTCAAGCTTTAATGCGAACGTTAACGCCTGATGGAGACATTATGGAGGATAGAACTACGCTTACCATGGTAAATAATTGATCAGTTACTCAAGACACCTTTTTTTATTAAAAAATTTACAGCACAAGCGGAGTTTTTGCTACATTCCAGAGAAGATGATCAATATTTTTAAAACACTAAAAAACAAACAGTTTTTTTTTGAATTGCCGAAATTTCATCCCGTCTTCACAAGGGCATGGGCACCATCGAAATAACGAAATTTTGGTGTTCATGATGTAATTCTGAAAAATCTGACGTGGTTTCAAACATTCAAACCCCTTCGGATGAATTATTCTACATCGTTTGGCACAAAACACTTGGACAAGCTCGACGACACGCGCACTATCGCGTCCGTAGGACACCCTTACACGTGATTGGACAGAATGTTGTGCCACGTGGCTACGCACTGGATCTGTCTGCATGACCGAAGGGGCAGCGACTGTAGATGCAAAGTCCAGCACGTGATGGGATAATTTGTCACGAGAAGCTCAACTACAGAGATTTTAGAAGGGCGGTCAGATTGAGGTTGGCAGATTCGAGAAGCCAATAAGAGGGTGGTTTTCCAAATCACAAGAACTCGTAACCTAGGTTTCTTTATACATATATAAATGCCGATTCTAAGTGGGGATCCCCAGACCTTTTGAGGTAGCGTTACCTGTAACCAATGAGAAGCTCCAGAAAACAAAACCAGAACGTTGCAACTGATATTTTTGGGCATTTGCAGTACGACTACTTACTAGCCAATCATTTGACTTCGCTTTGGCAGAGTGGGCTTGGGAAAGTCCAAGTTGGGCACACGCACCTTCAAAAGTTGAACAAATGGAGATGGAAGATATGGGAAATAATATCTGAGTAATGTGAGCGAGCACCACACGATTCGTCTGGATGCCGCCGGCGTAGATCGTTGATAAAAATCCAGTGGTTGGTGTCTGTTTTGGCTGGCATGCCACCATATCAAAATGAAAATTGCAGAATACTCGAGTAACACGTGTTATTCACGCCAAGGAATCATATTTTAACCATGTAACTATCAGACAAGCAATTTACCTGTGTTGCACCTCTTGTCAAACGTCGAAATTCACGAACTGCATCAACGGCTTGCTAGTGGTTTACTGGCGAATACGGTAGATTTGAATGCATTAAGCATTACAAGGAAGCTTTTTTATTGACGTTTATTTCTCTACATCAATAAACCGTGTCTGAAGACACCCTAGCTGCAATCGCGATTAGCGACATCAGCAATATCTGAATGCAAAAACCCATTCCTCGGTCGGGAGGGATATGCGAAAATAGCGTACGCTCATTTAAAAATACGCATATTTGTAATGTATCTTATTTGCTTCTAGTTAACTTGGAGAATTTTGCGCTTTTCCAGTGTAGCGAAAAGAGGGGATAGGTGAAGGTCCCAAAGCCCCACAAATCAGCCGCCACGAATACCATCTCAAGCAGACGAACCGCATCCCAAACCCAAAACCCTATTCCTTCGACTGAATCATAAATTTCACCACACAAAACGATATTCCAGAAGATTTTTCACAAATTGATTCTAATAATACCTGCCCCATAAGGACAGTGGGAGTAGGCAGCCACCAATTTGTAAAGTTTAGCAGAGTTACAAACCTGCTGTCAGGGGCGTCTGACACCTCCAACTCCTACACATGTTCGTGTTAACATGCGCGAATATTTCTTGAGTGATCCGGATTTACATCATATCGACTTTCCATTTCACATAACTTTCTTTATATCCTTATATATTTTATTCGTGGGAAACAGGTTACAATAACCGAGAAAAATATTGTGATCGAGTGGAAACGCTAGTGGACACCCCTGATCAAATAAGATTCCCAGCTGCGGTTCAATTTCAGTTACTGTGAGACTAGTTGTTATGAATGGGAAGCAAAGAGCCGTTCAATGATCTTGAACTCTCAATGAACAGATTACAAATTTATTAATGGTGTCTGTACTCACATTCAGGAAACGAGGAACTCAACTAATGGTAGCACTAACGATGTACATCCCAGGCCATCATGTTTTGCCTACATTCTACTACCCACCCAATTGATGAGCCGCCCACGGGCCTTGACGATCATCAAGCCACTGACCACTAAATAGAAGCCACGTAGAGGCTTCAGACTCTTAAATCGCTAGACGACTAGAAGCCCCTAAGCCCGGCAACACCTCCACTCCCACCACGTTGAAAGCCGAAGACGCCACAGCGCACAAAGGCTGCAAACGGGCAACACAAGGATCCACGACGTTAACAAAAGCTTTATTCAGGGATCGCCGAAGTATGGAAACACCCAACCTCCAAAGACTATTTGGTCATTTGAGGAAGGAAAACAGACTGAATAACCTTGGGACGACAAAAACACCCGAAGTATACAAACTCAGACTGCATTAATTAGCGCACCCTCGAAGTGGTTTCAACATCGTATCAAGCGTGCGTATTTCCGATGGTGACTGAATTAATAATACCGGACTAACGGAGCGGCGTTGACCGTTTTCTTACATGAATCATCCCAGGTCTCTGAAACCAAACTTGAGAGACTATCGTGCAATTTCTGGAACCCTTTGGAGAACAGAGGCTGTGGAGAGCGAACCTGAACCACAACATAAACAAAAACTACACACGGACATCAGAATAAAATTACATTTCATATACAAATCCGATAATCTGCCCGGGCAATGTTACAGACCAATACTACGAAGTTTTACTTCAGCGCCGGGAAGTCAGCATCGCTATCCATTGAGGGAGCAGGGCGAGAACCGGTCGGGCGACGTTCGCCTTCGCTTGGTTCAAAACTTCCCCGACCACGTCTCATGGCTCCACGCGGACCGCCTCTTGGGCCGCGGCCACCTCGCTCACCACCACGGAAGAATGGACGGTCTGCCCCACCGCCCCTACCACGACCTCCTCTGCGATCCGGGTTGAATGGAGCTCGAGCACCCCTACGACCACGGAACACGCCCATTCCACGCCCACGACCACCACGGACAGGAATATCTGGAGGCGGATCCGCAGCCTCGGTAGTTTCAGCGGGCTCCTGCACGCGTTCAACTTGTCTTGCAACGCCACCACGACCGCGAGTTTCACCAGAGCCAGAGGGTCGTGGCCCACGACCACGCAGTGGTGGTCTTCCCCGACCGAACTCAAAGAACACCGGTTTCGCCTCCTAGAAAACCGTTTATCAAATTTCTTTGTACTTACTTCCTCGGTTGTCTTGTCTTCCAGCAAGACCTCGACCTTTTGTTCCACAGGCTTTGATTTATGTACTTCAACCATATTAGAGAACACATTCTCGCCATCATTTGGAGGTCGAGACCCCTTCGTTGTCAGTTGAACTTTCGACTTCGAGGCATTGAGTTTTTTACGATATTCTTGGAGAGTAATCGTCTTCGGTTCCTCTTCAGCAGGCACCTGTTCGGGTTCGGCAGCTTTAACTTCAGCCACTGGCGTCTCTTCCTCAGCGGGAACCTCAAGAGTGGTGTCTGCCATCTGGGCCTCTAGTTCGTCTTCGATAGTGCCCCAATTACCAGTTCCATGTCCATCTTTCTTTACCACTGCCTTGACGCCCCTACAAACGGCAACAGGTATAGCATAATCAAATAGACCACGCACATTATGCATCAGAATATTTTACTCCTCAAGCCTCAGACAGGGATAACAAATCATCATGCTAAACTAGTAACGGTCTACTTACGTCTTATCCGAGCCCGAATGACGGTCGAACTCACGTTGCCCACCAGATTTGCCCGGTCTGCTACGTGAAAACCCGCCACGTTGACGGCCACCGCGTCCTCTACCCTCCCAGTGTTCGCCACGTGGGGCAGCAGCACCTTCTGCACCACGGGGACCGTTGCGTTGTGCACCATTTTGCTCTTGCTTCGTCTGCTCAGAGACCTTGTGGTCACCATCTACACTAGGTCCTTAAAGCACAATAAATACAAACTATACTAACCGGTGGCCTTGCTTACTGAAGCCTCTTTTGCAGAGGGCCCTGAGGATTTTCTCTCGCGCTTCCTCGAGCGTAACTTGTCAAGATATATCTCCGGGTCCTCTGCATTGAGTTCCTCATCGGCAAGCAGATCGAACCTGCTTCTAACCTGGACAGAATACTTGTAATCGTGAACTGTGCTGGCCATGTCAACACTAGCACCACATTACCAGCACGAACATACACGGAAGGCGGAAATACAAACTGGGGACAACTCAATAATTAAAACAAAAATTGTTTCTCCACTGTGAAATCAGATTTGTTTATCATAAAATAATTTAAAAAGATTGAAAGATTACAACACGCTTATTAAATTTATTAACAAATCAGTCTTGCAGACAGTGTAAAATATATGCATCACTGAGCATATAGGAAAAAATTAACTTCCCATATGTGATAGCCCAACTTCTTAAAGATATTAGCTTTTTTCGACATCGTGTTGTTGTTTCTGGAAAGTAATTTTATATCACGATGGGGTTACAGAGCTAAATTCGGTCCAGTTAGGTTACCCTGCAACTCGCGATGAAGAAAGTGGCTTGGAAGTCCGTTGGCACGTCGGTGATCCAACGATTCGGATAAAGCTTATACGTTTGAACAAAATGGCGGATATGACGAGCTAAATCCTTCATTTTTTCGTTAGCCTATTTAACAGGCTTTTGATTTCAGAATCTCTACATATTATCCTATAACTATCCAAGCACAAACCTGCAAAATACCATGAACAATGCTTACTTCCAGATTTCCGCCTAATAACCAATAAATCTAGCTTTTATCGGTCCTGCAGCTGTGGCAAGACCACGTGAACGTCGTGCAGCCTAGAACAATTATTTACACAAAACCAAAATTTAGCAGAATCGTCATTACGAACAGCGGTGAGTTAGCCCGTCTTGAAGGAACCTTTTCATTGATTCCAAGTGAGCACTTGTGCCCGCCCAAACACTTAGGCCTCAGTAGACACGTAAAAGTTGGAATATCCATATGTGTTGTAAATCATTTTTTTCACAGATGACATCAAGATTTTTCCATGTCTCGTCACCAGCACCGCATTTTCAATGAACTCTAAAACTGTTCTTCCCTGTCTGTACTTGTTCAGTAGCTGCAACAAAGCGAATTAATGTTTTCGAAATCATTTAATTGATACGTTGAACAGATTTCGAAAGCAAATAACAAACCAGAACACAACATCAGTCACTGTCCATCTGATTCCACCACACTGGTTGCGACACTAATTTTATTTGGTATCGCATTCATCCTTGTCTCTGTTTGGCTGTTGATCTGCCTCGTAGCCCATTAAAGCGCAAAGGGACAGAAGATTGGCTAAGGTCGGTGTAGTTCTATATATCTGCGACTGCGAACGTCAATTCACTGCCTCCGCATCAGGAGGAAGCTGTCCTAAGCTTCTGAGTTGGTTCCCTTCACTGTTGATGACTAATAAAATACACTGTTCGACATTCCCTACAACCTCAGACCTGACGGGAAAATAGCCCAAGCGAATATAAAACGCGGGACGTTGTCCTTGTTGACTTGCACGAAGGCCGCTTTATCCATCGTACGTTACTTCCTCACGCGTAGTCCAACTGCCTCTTACTGTCCTTATCATCGTTGCTGAATTGCCGATGCCTCTTCAGTCCTAATTCCGGGCAATGTCTATGGATCTAATGTTTGGAAAATCGGATGGACTGCCATGAAAACAGAAGCAGGCATTCAAGGTTCTTCGCCTTTGTTGTCCATAGTAGGTAAAGGGCTGGGGTTCGATTCGCTTTATCCAAAATAACCTACTGACGCCAATGTAGTACACCCGAGCCCAAGTATGAAAACCGGCACAATTGAACAATTTAAACAAATCACAACCAAGGAAAAACGAACATTTGTGTGCTTCTAAATGACTGTCGTGTCACTTGATCGGCTTTAACCGCGTTTACATGCTCCCATAAGAGAGAAAAACGCGTTTTGGAAAAGGATGTTAATTATTATTGGTATTAGCATTAGTACTGAAGATAAATTAACATGCACGCAGTCAGTAATAAGAAAAGTGACAACTAGGTGGATAAGTTGGCCCCAATTCCGGGTCATGGCGTACCTGAGAGCGAAAACCTGGATGCAAAAGGGGTAATATCGAGGCGCATGTGGCGGATCAATGTGGGCCTTCTATGCGGCCGTGAGGCTCGCCAGTGGGGGGACATAGGCGATGTCTGTGCCCACGCACGAAAGCGCCATTGTCGGCCCTGTGACGGTTTCTTCGAAGACCTAAAAAAAGTTTCAGAAATCGGCGAGCTGTGAACGAGGCGCAAATCACCCACGCATTAGTTAAGGACAAATATAAAAGCCACTGTAAGTAGTTTTCGCAATCCAACATACAAGACGGCGTAAAGAGAAATAAGGAAGATTTGGATGCCAACCAGAAAAAGATCAACGTTTAGTAACATCGTTGTGGTGTCGACGGTTATTTCAACGCGGCTCACCTGATTCACATCAGCCAGTTGAAGTTGGTCAACTGCACGGCAGATATCCTCGGCGTTTCGGAAGACGCTCTCGTTGTCCTCGCAGTCGCCACCGTGATCCAACAACTGGACCGCAATGTCCGTCGTTAGAGACACCTGATTCTCCGCTCGCATAAACACTTCGGTCTTGAGGCGAGATCTACGCGGGAAGAAAAAGAAGGATTTCTACACTTATCCAAACCCATGTTTCGTGAGCAACAGAAGCTAGATAGACAAGTAACCAGTCTGGATCAAAATAATTCAGGGCCAAGCACTAAGCTTCTAGGACATTTTGAAATGTAAACACTAGGTCAACTAATAGGATAACTTTGCATGAATCGACGATCACGGATCTTGGATATAGTGACCTAGAGGCATAGTGACCTAGAGGCACTAGATTTTGAGATAAAAAACGCACTTTGCTTGTTCAAATTGCTCTTCACTTAAGCCCTTGCTGGCGATTTCTCCAATTGAGTTTCTAGCCACAACCACTTGCTCGCCAACCGATTTTCCGTCAACACCGCTGATCATACAGCCAAACAAGCCATGGTCAGAGTAGGTAAAGTGGATAGGGGTGGCCAGAGCGGCACCAGACGGCAGAAGCAGTGACGCCTTGGACCCGTAGGCCACGCTCTGCACCGGAGGAGCCAAAGCAGCAGCGATAACAGAGAGGGCGAGGGAGGTCTCGCAGTCGGCCATGCGTCCACCGGACGTCGGCCAAGCCAGTGCGGCGTACGTCTCCGGTGCTCCCGTCATTTCGCGACGTCGCTCGCCTAAAAAGCGCGCATGCAAAGCCCTTAAAAACATTGACGGGAAGTGGTTTCCGAAAGATCGGCACAATGAGTGGAATAGCAGTCGGCATGTTAAACTAAAAACGCAGTGCATGCTGCATTATTTAATACCTTAAGTGTAAAGTAGACCCAGGAATTTCAAAGCATTTACCTCCTATGAAACCATATTTAGGACCATAAGACGATTTCGGGACATCAGAATTTGGCCTCAGTCTGGCAGCCTCATGCATCGATTCGCAGAGTTCAAGTCCATTGACACCGGGGCCAGATCCGGTGACGATGAAGGCAACGTTGGCGGGTGTAAAGCGTTGACTGAGGAAGGCCTCAATATCATCAATTGAGTGCGTCCCAATGCGATTTACGTCGGCATAGAGAGAGTTTCCAAGACCAGTTCCATCTGGGTGCTGGCCAAAAGCAGCATCGTGGAGAAGATCCAACGTCACTTCATGAAAACGGCCAAAAAGTTGGCATTAAACGAGTCAAGAAATCAGTGACGAAAGATTGAAAGGAAAAATGACTAAACAGTACTAAAACTAATGGGTCACAAGCTCAGGGAATTTATAACTTGAGTAAATTGCTAATCAACAATTGTCAAACTACGGGGCGCAGCACGATTTTAAGTTCATGACTCGAAATCAACATGGACAGATTATACAAAGAATTTACCCAAATCTACACATATAAAAAAATTATTTGAAGTAGCAACACTTTAAAAAAAAGAATTACAAGCATCAAATTGACGCCTGTTAAAGATGTCGATATCTTTTCGCATTAACTTGTGCGCCTGATCTTTGAGCTCCCATTCATAGAAGGCGGTACGAGTAGCCATCGTCGCCAAAATGTAGCCGGCCCTAGGTGCTAGATTGGGGGCCACATCTACGGAGTAAATTATGTGCTCTCGAGTAGTGTGGCATCTAAAAACCAAAAGCAAGAGTCAAGAAGAATGCATTTACAGAAACACTCGTGGATGGGGTAAACTGAAAACTAACTGGAGTTGGGCTCCCATCTGTTGGATGTGACGGACCAGATTTACGGCGGTGTAGTTAGTGGTTGAAAGTCCACAAGAACGACGAATGAGATGGGTGATCCCGTGTAATTTTGGTGATGTCTCATATCGCGAGCCAGCTTTGAAAATGGCAACCAGACGAGTAAGACCATTCCACCCACTTGGTTGAGGAAGACTGGCATACTGAAAATGTAAAATATACAAAAGTCGTTAGATAAACGTTAATTTCAATCATATGTCTCATTGTTTCTTAATAAAGAATGTCAGAATTCCTGAAACTGGGGCTTGACAAAAATTCGACGCGCAATCTGAACCACTTGCAAAGAATGTGCACAGCTTTATTGTAGTTTTAAGACCTCGAAAAACCAAAAAGATTGTGAGACCGGAAAATTTTTTATCCTTGTACAAATAGCTGCACTTATAAGGAAACATGCAATTCCGTAATTGCAAATGAGGGAGAATAAACACCATCAGTGCCAGCTGAATCCAACAAAATTAACTAAATATTACTGTAAGTTCAAAAAACCATATAGTAACGTCAAGTAAAAAGGATGACATACATGTCACCAAACACATTAGGAAATAAACAAACCTGGATGCCACCGTCACCTTCAACAACTGTGAGGGTCCGATCCGATTTAGTTATGTTACGCTTCAAAGCAGTTGCCCCTGAAGCTCTTGATGGCACAGATAGAACTTTGCAGACTCTATACGCCTAAAAATAATATAAAACAACCTAAAAAGAAAACCACACCTTCATATTCCACCAAATTACGAATGGTTCGGCAAATCAGCTATGCGTTAAAACATGCTGAGTTACCAGTCGACACGTAGGTGTTTAAGGTACATGTAACTCATGTCTTTGGTGGATGTATTGCAAATATATAAAGTAAATAAAATAAATGCCAAAAATAGCTTGTTTAATGATTGTCAAAAATGCAGGATAGAGGCTATTTAAAGTAGTGCTATTCTAATTTACTATAAAGTTACTGATTATTGTCTTTGGTGCCCAAAATATCGTTTACATTGTTTATTTAAATTTACTTTCTACCCTGAAGATGACATGAGATTTATTGCCTTACCTTTTAAGTCACTAAGGTTTTAAATTAATGATTTTTGTCTTGGGAGATATTTAAACCACTTTTATGGTGCTACTAACAAAGTCAAATAAAAACCTCTGCCAAGTATACCCTCAACAACGATGGTTTAGTTGATACTTTGTAATCATTGATTATCTGGCGCATGCGCCCACTGACTGCAATAGTCGCTTCGAATGTCCCTATTAAGTGTCGTTCATAGACAACGTTTTCGCATGTTAACAGTCTCACTTGGGCACAGTGCGCTAAAGGAAGGTTTCGAGAAAATTATTAACGGCCTTAATTGGGTAACATCCGATCTCAAGGCATGATTTATGCCTTTCTTTATTTTGATTTTTTTCATTTTAAGTTATATAATATTCATTTACGTCATAAATAGCGACATTCAGGAAAGTGGTAAATTGTTTTGCCACAAATTCAATTTATTTCTTATTGCAAATTTCAAACACACCCTCTATCTATTGACAAGTCTTATGCATTGCTTCTCTTCGATAATGTGTAGCAACTAATAAATTCAGCATTCTTCGGAATCCTAAATCGAGTATTGAGGAGTTTAAATACTTTTTTTACTCCTCTTACACGAAAGTGGCATGTTTGCGCTTTAAATTTTTTTGTTTTGCTCAATTTCCTGCGATCACTATACCCGCTTTTTTGATATTTTTACAAATGCGACTAACTCAATTTTGTATCAGCCAAATTAGATATTTAACTGTGATATTAACTACTTCACTAGGAAATATTTTTGCCAATTATTCAGGATTTATGAGTCATAAGGACCCTTAACCAGTTACCTTTTCCTTTAAAATGCGTACACACAACCCACACCGATATTAAAATACTAAAAACTAAAATTCCTGCTTGTTGGCTTTTTTTATTCACAGAGTGTAATGTGAAACCTATATATTTTTGAAATGCGTTAAACCAGTCAATGGCAGTTCAGAGGAAGGTAGTACAAAAACACGGACCAACTTAAATAATAACAATTCATGCTGAAATCACTTTATTCTTTGTTACATAACCCTTTTGGTAGTGGTTCAGTTAAAGCTATCTACTTCAAAAATTTTTTTGTCTGGTAATCGGACGAAATATTTATTTAATGTGACAAGCTTACGTAGGCGGTTTTCATTTTGTGTCAATTCGAATAGATAAAAACATTTTGAACTCAATTGCAGCTTGTGGGGTAGCTATCTTTTATTTTCTCCTATATTAGGCTACATATTTAAATTAATGCTGATAATAGCTCTTAATGATCTACACCAAGTCATATTGCTCCTTCATATGGCATTTCACCGGGAAATCACTGATGGCTAATTCTAAGAAAGTGGGAAAACCATTGTTCATTCGTAAATGCAGAACTGTTGCAAGTTTGCAACCACTTTTGTTTTGCAAGTAAAGAATTCCTTTCAAAAATCCTGGAAAACTTGACTTCTGATTAAAAAACTTTTATTTGAACCTTTTCTCTTTAGACTTCTACAGACTATTTTCAAGGTTTGGTACTTGCTTGAAAATGATCAGGCGGAAGACAAATAAATGCATCGAGCACCAAACTGGGATTAATTTTTCTTTTATAAAAAAAGACTTTTTTGTCGTCCTGTCTTTACACCTTCACCTTGATTGCATGTCGTGGACGCTTCTGACAAAGTACATAGTGCCTCAAGAACAAGCAAAGAATTACTATCGAGAATACCTTCAGATTAGCTATGCCTCCCTAGCGGGCTTTAACGTGTTTTTTTATTACCAAAGACCGAAATCCTCAAGATTCTACACAGTAGAGCCATTTAAATTTCGCATTTCCTTCCATATTTGAACTTGCCGTAAATACGCACTCTCACACCCCCCATCGGCCACGCACCGATCCCATAGATTTAGCCTGACTTAATTGCCCTTCCCATTCGGTATTTGTGTAAATTCGCGTTTGATTGGAAACCGGATTAAACGCAACACATCTAATTCAAAAATCTACATCTTCTATAAGTTTCCAGCACCTTTTTTTAGATTCCTTCTTGCAGAACCTTTGTGGTTGCTCTTCAAAGAAATTTGCAATGTATTTTTGGCCTCGGTCAGTCATTCTTCTTCCCACTCCGATTATTTTTCTGCGAAACTGAATAGCTAAAAAAAGGGAGGCCTTCTGAGTGATGTGCTGCTTTGCTTTGTCATAATGACTAAATTCAGATGTTCTCTTGTGACTTTGACGTTGACTTTTGTAATTTACTCAACGTCCTTCTCCGCAGTTAGTATTTGGAGGTTGACTTCTATTAGTACTAGAGAATATTAATCGAAAGTAACTGTTTTTCTTGCTGTGATTTGTTTCATAGACGTCTTCAGGGATGTCTCCTTTGGTAGTGAAGTGGTTTACTGAAGTTTAACCAAAATCTTTTGCCCAAATCGATAGTAAGCAGTAAGGTCAGTACGTGCTCTTCGTCTACAAAGCCCACAACAGACCATTATGAGTAGTATGAATAAGTTTCGTCACTAAACGCCGATTTACTGTGGTCCATAAAGCCTTCACAGATTCACATTCTTTTCCTACATACCAAAACACACACATACACAGGCGCACATGCATATGTATCCTAGGTCTTAACGGTACCAAATTGTCGAACATTGAAGTCAGGTGCAGCCTCCACGCTGTCGAGACAGGCCTATGCGGACGGCAGACGGACATGGTACATCTCGTGGAAGGGCTTGATAAAGTGGTAGTCAACCACTCGACAGTGCTGACAGCACATCAGTCGACTGTACTGGCTGAAGTAGGGGAGTGGGTGGAGGGGGTTGGTGGGACTTGTGGGCTCCTCCTGCGCGCCCTCGGAGAGCCGCCGTCGGGGCTGATGGCGAAGGTCGTCGCCGCCCGCGACAAGCAGGCCGGGTTCGTTCTTGAGCGAGGCGTGCGAGAGGGCCTGGAGGCCGCAGGATTTGCAGCGCAGGTGCTCGATGCAACATGGCATGCACGCAAACGGGTCGTAGGTGTACATGCCTCCGATTAAAAGAGTGGAGCCTAATGTGAGGGCAAATCGGAATGCAGTCAACTTAGGTGAGATGGAGAAGGTGGAATTCCACTCCACAACTTGAGATATCAACAGCTGATATTCAACTCTAATGTAGGCGAAGACCTTGTGAACGAGTTGGGGTTAATTTACATCAGCAAAAGTGGCAGAAGTTCATTTGAGTGTATTTACCTTAAGAGGAAATTTCGAGTTTAAATAAACCTCCTTACGGGTTGCGCACACAGTCGTGTAAAATAACCATTATGCTTCACTCAGATGCAGTGCAGATTGTATTGAATTTAAAAAAAAATAAAAAGACGATACAGTAAGTAACTAATTCAAACAATGAATATATTTAATGGCCCTATGGTCAGATTATTGAGGTGATTGAAAGACGTATTAGAAAACAAGTGGTACAATTTTCTAATTATGCAATAATTGTGGCCTACTTTGTAATCTACATCAACTCTAATCTGTCAGCCGAAAGAAAAATCATAAGTAGTTTGTGTCTAGACTTAGCAAAAGTTATGAATATCACGTGTCATTGACAGAAATCACTCTGATAAGCCACAGATCTGTACAAGATTCAACGGCATTTACCATTCCAGGGCTTGTCGCAGAATTTGCAGACAATCTGAGGAAGCCGATCACTGGGGTCGCCGGTGCTGCGCATGCAGGTCATGCAGATGGCGTGGAGGAATCGCTCCTGACTGACAGACGGACGTCTTTGCTGCTGCCTCGAGTGGCCACCAGAGAGGGCCTGTTGCTGCCGGGGTCCGGTACATCCAGGTGGTGGCGCGATGTCCCCCTGAACGAGCTGTCCCGCCATCGGGGGACTGGTGCCACCGCCACCGCCACCACCAATGGCCTGAAGTCCGTTTGAACCGACCGCCGACATCGGCACATTCCAGCACACCTAAAAGTCCCCACGAATATGCACCAACCCACGTTAGCCAATCCGGTGTGTGTGTGCGAAGGTCGTTTCGAGTGCCCACCGACTCACCTGTAGCCCGCCGCGATGGCACAAAGGGGAAAGAAAGAGAGCCCCATCGACTACGGGAAAGTGGTCGTAAACCGCCATTTTCCCACCACAAGCAATGCACTTCATCTCTGAGGCTCCGTGGTTGGTCAGTTGGCAGAGGAGGAAGGCACGCGTATCCTCGTTCCCTGTGCAGCTGTCATCCTCCAGTTGGATGAAGTAGCCATTCTTCTTTGACGGGTGAAGATTCTACGAAAGAAAAAATTACGCATAGATCTTTTTCTGTGTCCTGAATCGAAATTGATCTATAAACTCTGTTCAGACAGAAACGCGACATCTCCGGATTATATCGTGCTCCTTTTGTCAGACGACTACGCTAGTTGTATGTCAAAACTGTATCCAGCAAAAGCTAAGAACTTTTGTTAATTGTGGTTTTGTGTTTGCCGGTTGGTGAGTGCTAGCGATTCGCATTGTTCAAAAACACGACCTGTCAAACTCACATGGCAGTTAGGTGAACAGTTCTCTGGCACTTCTCCAGCTAACTCGAGTCAATTTAATGACAACGAGGTGCGCCAACATTACGTAAACATCGCATTATCCTAAACATAAAATCCAGCCAGGCTTAAGCAGATTTGACAACTAACACTTAAAAACTGCCAGCACCTTCACACAGACCTCTTCGCTTGTTTTTCTGAAATATTTTTACCTTGAAACAAAGCTTGTACCTTGAGACCAAACTTGGATTATGTCTTGTCACCATTAGTAAGACCGAATTGAGACGTTTTTTAAAATGTGGCGAAGTCGCAATGCATGATCCAAGCACCACCGTACTTAAGAACACAAAGTAAAACAGGCAAGTAGGCCATGGGAATCGATTAATTAATTAGATTACAAATCGCACAAGTTTCTATTTATTGCAAAATAACATGGGGGTGGGTGAGAAACGCTTATGAATTTCATTGGGAACAGGAGATAGCCGGGTTTGCGTACGTGTGTTTACCTTGTGCGTTTGTCGAGCCATTCAAGAGTATTCACTAAACATTCTTGCGCTTACTTATAAAGAGTAAGTAGAATCCAAACCAAAATTACGGGAAGCTTTGGAGTTCGATAGATTGGAAATAGGGCTTCGCACTTTCTACCATGTTATTCCTTTTTAACTTGTTATTTTACGACTCTTCTTGTAGCTGAGCTCCAATCAAGATTCGTTTAATCGGCTAGTAGGTTAATATTCTGAAAAAAATACTGGCCATTGTCCACGAAGCGTTAATTAGAGTCGATTGTTTTAGGATAGCACATATACGGTTTTTATAATGTTACGAGCTGCATTTATTGCCTGACCGAAACTAAATTTCGTGAGTTTATCTGTACGAAGGAGCCGAAGTCTAGTTGCCAGGTAGTGCTTACAAATTTCCCCATGGTTATAACAGAAATCAAAAGACGAATCTAATCGATGTAGATAACGATTCGTTGATTGCAAATTACTAATTTTGGACAAATGAAATTCACATTTGTCCACCTTTCATTGGACAGTTCAAGGACGAGTCAAAGTCGTAGTTATAAAACTAATCTGATTTAACAAATCTCACAAAATCAATACGTGGTGCAGCATCGATTTGAATGAATGGCGGCATCTACGCAAAATACCCACCTTGATGGGAATTTCCTAATCGTGCTTACATTTCCGACTTGAGTGTCAATGGAGTTTCCGTCTCCATGGCATTTGTAAAAACCATCCGTAGTGTCAACTAGGACCTGTAAACTCGTCCGGAAGGGCTAAAAATACTCTTGACATCGGTCAGTTTCCAAGCCAACGACCCTGATTTTTACCCCTTTTTGTCAAGAATTAATTTAAAAAGGAAAAGAGCACTGATACTACTGAAAATACAAGGTCCCTACCTGGAAGGCCGAAAAGTCCTTGCGCTGTCTGAAAATGTTGCCTTTTGGGTTAAGCTGGCGATTTCCGCTGCACAGGATGGCCACATTTATGGACATGCTGCGTTGGACCTGTTGGTCCGTTGGATGCACAGTGGAGACCGATCCGGTGGCTAGCGATCCCGAGCGAAGACGAGCGTCGGCCACACCTAAACGCGGATACAATGAGGTCTAACTCCAATGAAGCACTGGACAAATTACTGACGACGATTGTGGACCCGCTAAATAGTCAAAACACACACGCACACAAAGGGAACTTTGCTATTGTCGACAAATATCGTACGTTTGGCCTTTCTTGCACCTTCCGCTCGCTGACTGCGTTTCGTTGTGTCCATGGGGTTGGAGGAGCCGGTGGCAGGGGCGGTGGGCCAGAAGTTCGTGTCGGGACTCAAACACTGACTCTCAGACGGACTGTTCTCCTCGAGGGACTCCATGCTCGCCAGAGAGAAGCTGGGGAAACGGGTGGAGGTGCCAGCACTGGAGAACTCGCTTCCGAGCCCACTGCTACTGCTCGAAGCCGTCATGCCGCTGAGACTCGCTTGACGCTGCGTAATGCCTGGTGCGTTCGATGTTGGATTCCTGAAAATGACGACAATTTGTTCTTTGGCCCCACCAATCAAGAGCTTCCCCAAGAACGGCGTTTTTCTTTTACTCTGCCTTTTCACCTACTGATAAACAATTGTCAATTACGTTGTAAACTGACACGTCATGTAAACGCGTCCGTATTTTCTCACATTTGCATGAAATTAAAAAAAATATTTGCGACCAATCTCCCTTACGTCACATTTGGAGTGGTAAATCGACAATCCCCCTTCACCTTTCGCTTACCTGGTTCATCAGTGGTTTCTCAACGTAACCCACCACAGAACGATTGAGTATCATTCACCTGATAATTGTGCACCCCTGAAAGGTTTGGAAGTGAAACTGATGTGACGCTAGGACATTGATGGAAGCCACGCATTCACAATAGAAAATATACCAATTCGCCAACGATAGTTGGGCAAATGACAGACACGGCTGGGAGATAAATGGAACTACAAAGACCTATGATCTCGCACATGCAAAGTGTTACCAAATTAACGACTTTCCTGCTACCTTCTCAGTTCAATCTCTACCATTTTTGTGTCACTATCGGCATATTTATTGGTGATGAATTAACACGGTCACTTCTACTGAAAATGCGAGACCTAAATGCGCATGAATAAATGTTTACACAGACTAAGTGTAGAAAACATTTCACCGGTGAAAATGACTGATTGTGCGACAGAAAGCTAAAGTATGACAGGAAGCTAATTTCGGTTCTCCGTTGTGACACAGGCCTTCGTTTGCTCGCATTATGAACAAATTTTCATCCATTATGTCAACATTTATCAGATTTCCTGTTGACATCTGTCTAATAACTCCACGATTCCATCCCCTGTAAATTTCGTGTTACAATCGTCTGCGAACTGAATGAATTGAGATTCCTTATCACCTTCGTCAACGAATTTTGTACCATTAAAAACTTTTTTGCATATTTCTGAGATGTTATATAACCTGAAGACACAAGAGAGATGCCATTTGAAGCATTATGAGACATCACACCTCATCCACCCCCCAATAACTCCCCCAGTTACCACAAATGTGTAACGCCAAACATCGTCTTAGTCGATCCACTATGGCCATCTCTCATCATTTAGCCCAATTTCGAAGTACACATGATGCGAATTTGCATCTCAATTGATCGTTTAGTTGGTGGTGGTGCATCACAGACCCGCACCATTTTCCCTTTCCATCTAGCTTATTTCAATGAGGTCCATTTTGCACAACCAATAACGACTCAGTTAAAGCAAAAAAGACAAGTACACTGTGCTTGTGATACATATCTCAAATATTGAGCCGTTGTATTAAGCTATTTTCCGTCAATTTTGAACGCTACCCAACTATCGGTTACAATGTAGGTGTGTGTGACACGAGTACCAAGCTCTGTGAATTTATTTGCACAGTTGAACAACCGTGATAAGATTCACCTACGATTTTGATTTTGTTCTCATCATCTTTGAGAGATCAGTCAGGTCAGCGCACTTTATCAGCTGAATGCAAACCTACGAGCAACTTGTGTCTGGAGTAAGCCAAGTGACCAACTTCGCGTGTCATTAGCAGAAGTCCCTCTAGCCAATCATTGAGCTACTTACGACCTTACCTAACCAATGGTAGTGTACGGTGTGGTGGTGGTCAATAATGGACGGAATTGGATAGTCGTTTGGTAATTAAAAAACAAACACACACGATTCAATCGCATTTACAATTCCAGGGAAGTTATTCCAGCAAAACAGTAAGTTAAGTGCCAAACGCACCCCTAAAACAACCGCTGACATGTCCGCAATCCCACACAGAACTGGTGATTGCCTCAATAAATATGTGTGCCAGTCAAAAGCCCTAGGAAAATCTCAAGATCCAAGTCTGGCCAAGTGCGTTCTACAATTTGAGGATGCTTTGAATCGACCTTAGCCTACGCGACCTACCTGTGGTGCATGTGGGAGTGGAAGGACCACAGACCCGACGAATTGTGCGTCGGTAAATCTACGTTTTCCCACGTCTCCATGAGCGGAAACTCTGAGGCATCGATGAAGTTCTTGAACGACGCGGTGATGTCCGAGTAGCGTGTCTTCTGAAGACGGCCATTTGCACCACTATCCATTCGCTTCTCAAGGTCGTCGAATATCCACTGTGCGCCTAATTGGTGCACTGAAGAAAAAGATAAAATTGCGCCGAGTATAACCAGTGTAGTGCCCTGGTGAAATTATGCAAACGTTTAAACAAGCGAACTGTCAGTGATAGTATGATTTTTGTGGGCTTTGGTTGAACTGAGAACCTATTTCGACACAGTAGGTTTCTTGGGAAAATTATGGCCTCAACGCCGACGACTAGGTACCATTCTTGAATTTGTGGAAGCTGGTGTAACTGAGTTTACCAAATTCGACATTCAAACTGCAACTATGGATCGGTGTGATTTCGGTGCAAGTGATCAGCGTAGCCAACTGAGGGAAGGCTTGACTGAAGGAAACTGGCTTCTGTGACCCCAGCCCCCATCCAACTCTCCGCTGGCTTTCGCTCATAAACGCGTGCACCGTCACACTATGATGACTCATACCTTGCCTAGCGGATGAATCAACGGTTGTTAACTTTTCTACAGTTCCGTTTTTTCACCGCGTTGTGAATCGTGTTAACTCACGTCCATCACAGATGTCGACATAAATCCGGATTACGTCAGTGTAGTTCACTCTACGCAAATGGACGGTGTCTCCCAAGGGACAAGTCGCCTACCACACATCCCATCACATGAATTTTTTTCTAGTTCACCTGAATCCTGTCGATCAGTCATGTTTACGGCTTAGAAACGACCTTGTTGTGCTCAGCAAACACAACACGCATGTGGAATGATCTCTCAAACGGTTGAGGCCCTCGATTCAAGTCGTTTCCTCTCTGCCGTAAAGTGTCACATCAAATTAGTAATTCCGAAGGTAATCACATCAACTTCGTCAAGTCGAACTGATTCACTGCAGTTGGTGATTGAACATAAAACCCTGGCCGTTTCAGAGTCACTCAGGAAAGCAGTTTAAGCTTGACGCAAATCGATAGAAATTTCATCGTAAAAACTGTGTAACCGATCACAGAAAACACTTATCGGCACACTTGTTTCTCTTCTGATCAAAAAACCGCATGGAAGGGTCCATTCCGATCAAGAGAAGATACCAGTTTATTCAGCGGGAGTAGGTAGACCTGTCCACCTCTCTACGCTCTAATCTTCTCCTTTATGAAATGACCGAATGTCACAGCACTATCATTGATATCTCTTCCAAGTAGATCGATACGTTCAGGGCACAGAGTCGTTTGGCTCACAAGCTACGCAAGTCCTGCTAACGGCCAAGGTCACTCTAACCAGTAGTCGGTTAGTAAGAAGTGAACTGATTCTTTTGTGTGTCACCTCGTTGTTTAAGGTGCAGCAATCATTTTCTCTTTTGCCTCGCTGGCAGCCGCAGGCTTTAACGTTTGCGTTTCAACCTAGTTGGATATCATCAGCATGCACGTCCTCTCCGATCGCGAAGAAAGCGTAATATCTACCATCCAAATACGAAGTTTGTAGGTCGTAACCATGGCATCAGGCATAACTAAATTTTAAGACGCGTGCTAGCTGGTCGGGCATTTCGCTTACGCACAAGAAACCCCGAATTAGCGACGTAGGAGGTACATTTTTAAATTAAGATAAATTATTGACACAGTCTCGGGAAACCAGCCTACCGAAGGCATCTGCGTTCACACACTGGAAAAAAATATGTGCTTGTGTGATCAACAAAACACAAGCGACAGAATTCACGTGACTTGATTCAGGATCACATAAACATGACCGATTCGCGATGTTATTGGATCTCTTCGCGGAAAAAATGAAATCGCCCAGAACCAATCATTTTGCTTACTACCATTCGCCGCGTAGTCGAAATTCAGTTGGAATGGTTTGCGTTAATGTAAACCCCCGAAACCGTCTACAAATTTGCTTAGAGAATGTTGTTATCCAAAATCGTTTTCGACGAGTAGATCGACGGTCATCAGGTCTGAATTCAAGAAGGACAATTGAAGCGACCAGGAAGAGATCGCTCTAATTCTAGTGCAGTCCAAAGGGGTTGATGTAGCTAGAAAGCAAATGCGAGGAGAATAACCTAGCTTAGATGAGAGTCGTTGAAGAAAGAATTTGATTGTCAGTTCTAGGTTTGGTGAATTAGCTGTCATCTCAAGGTACTGGAGAGGAAGGCGCCAACAAACACTAGTGATTTGCACCAAGGTGATTGTTCAGTTTTGCCTCGCTGTACCGTTTGCGGAAAGAGTCATTACACAGAGACTTAACTTTTCATCCTTGTAACTCGAAAAATGTGGTCGGCGTTGTTTAAAGGCCAACCATGTTACTCCGGCGTGCAGATCGTAGCGTATTTGTGTAATTTATGGATGCAGAGGACCACCCTACTACCTCCCGCTGAAGGTGATCACACCTCCTAGTCAGAAATTACGAATGATCATATTGCTAAATACATCTGCTTACAAATGTCAAGCCTCGGTCTTCGATGGTATCGAAACAAATGAAGGTTCGAAAATCGTGTTTGCGATGGATGACGGTTTTGGATCTAGCGATGTGAAGGGCTGGTCAGAGAAGCAGGGAAATCCGATTAGCCTCACACGTTTCATCCGTTTGTGTCCAGACAAATGTAGCCGACCTAGAGGGGTCCTGCCAACGAGACTCGACAGTCGTGGCTTTTGAAACACTGTCACCAATGACCCCCAGCACAAGACAGCTGGCACACGAAGACAATCATAAAACAACAGCCACACATCATTAGAACACTTCCCAGAGATGGGAACATCTAGAGGTAACCAAGGCCATGAGTGAATTTCAACCAGCCTCTATTTCAGAGAACCTAAACACTAGTGAAAAACCCATTCTATGAAGCGTCTAAAGGATTTTAGTAGACGCCTTAAACGGCGGGACGTATCGTAGGAAATTTCTAGATGTACCGAAATCTCGGTGTCCATTTACCGGTCGGGCGAAAACCGATTCGCGATACCCTCCTCACGCTTCGAAACCCCTTCCTTGTTGTACAGGTAGTGTTGTAGCTTAGTGCAACCGTCAGAACCTACGGTCATTGAACGACCATTGCTTGGGTGTAGCAGATCCAACAGCGGAGATGCCTTATCGCCACATCCGAACGTAATGGTGGCCGCGAGCTGCTGATGTCCGATCTTGAAAAGCATGTCACAAGTTCCTCCAAACAAACCCATTCGATCTGAGGGGACGCACAATTCTTTAGAGTTACCTGTTCTGTCGACAGCGAACTTTGAATAAGTGGCTACTTTCCAAAGACCCCACATTTAATTAACAGGCTAATGCCTTGGCGAAATCTTGTAAATTCATTCAAAAAAAGTGAACAGCACTTGACAACCGAGTGTTGAATTTAATCACGTGAAAACTGAATCGAGGCAGCGATATCGTCAAACCTAAGTCTCACATTCATATTCTCGATTTGGCAGTTTTGAGTGGGTGCATTAAAACAAAAGAAAACCGTTTGTGTTTGCAGGCCAAAGTTTAAGACTGGGAATGATAGCAGGTGTTCAACTTCACTGAAACAAAGATGCTACACATGACCCAGGTAACTAACACGGGAACATTTCAGTACATTCTCTGCTTTAAATAACTTCACGTGCATAATTCAAGCAACGGAATTGAAGACTTCAACGCTCATTTTAGTCGAAAGAAAGTCCAGCACGATTGCAGGAAGCCACAGTGATGTTTTCTGTTATGAATGAAACACTAGGTCTTTGAACGAAACAGCGATGACACAAAATCGTATTTTGTGAAATGATTTGCTGCAAATGCATCTGGATGGGAGTGGACAGATCGTTTCGACGCATCGGGAGCCACCACGGTTGACCTTCGACATACAGCCACGCGTCCCGAAACTCCTGACTAGCAATTGACAGGCTGCATTCTAATTAGATTGCGCGTTGGCAACCATGGCAACCGAGATCAAGGACGATGGTGAGGAAGTGTAGTGAATCGTGTTGGTCCACGCCCATACAACACACCGTCCCCCTCTCACAATGCGCCCGTCAGTCATACGGAATCGTATTCTCACACACCTCCTACTACGCCCTCCACTCCACTTCCATTTCACCCGAACTGTATTGGTCAACAACCTCCATTAGGCATGCACGACTTTGGACAAATACAAGTACACGACAACACACTTAGGTTGAGCCATCAACATGGAGGTCACGGTGTGGGCTGGGATCACAAGCAGGGGCTTTAACAGAAACAAAATTACAACGTGAACACAACCGTCTCTTTATTGAGAATCAATGAGTGATTGTGCATATCCGTGCAGATGTGTGAACGGTGACCAGCGAGAGTTAAGAGGGCGTGGCAACTACCAATCAGCTTGCAGATAACCTGTTCGGACAGGCTCCTGTTTGTGTGCCTTTCTCTCTGAAAGTCGACAAAAGTCGACCTCTAGAGGATGAAGACATTGGACGTTTTAATGACGGCACTGCCAGAAGTGTAATTTGAGAGACCCGTGCAACAGGCTGTATCTGCGTTCTGGCCAATCAAACACGCCACCAGGAGAGGCTATTACTCACGAGGCAAAAAGTAGTTGATGTGCTGAGACATAGATGAATAATTTTCCACTTTGGTTGTGACTGCTCCTGTGTAGGTTAATGGAGAAAACGCTCCCATTCCGGACCTATTCCGAGTGTCGAACGAGGTCGATTGCATTGTGCCAGAGGGAGATTAGCTCACATGCACAGACAATGGCTTGAGCATGATACAAACGCTCACAATACCAAATTTTATCAGCCAACAAGGTAGACAGGGTTTGTAGTTATAACCGCACAAAAACATTACTCAAATTAATGAGAAATGAAACGAGGAAGAGTGAAGATTGTAAAGAAGTAACATATTTAACTGGCCGACTGTGTATTTTGGCTGTCAATGGATCCCCAAATTCCGTTTCTAAGGGAATGAGGTTTAATTTCGAGCGCAGCAATTTCGTTGCACATTCAAATTTCCACGGACCGAATTTGGTTTCAAGGTCAGTTAGCTCAACAAAACATCCAAATGTCCGCAAGTCAATAGTGAAAAGTCGTCTCTATGGT